AATTTGAATGAGCATAGCTCAAGTGTTATTGAGGAAAACTGAGAATTCTTGTGGTGTATCTAATTAAAATGATAGCTACGTAACATGTAATCGACGTAACAACGATATACGTAACTAATACAAGTTGATCGACGATGACTATTTGTTCCATTTTGTATGAAATTAGAACTGACTTTATCATACTATCTATTGTCGACGCCCAATATGTACAAGAACCACACATGATAATTACAATAGTTCTGCAGTCCGCAGTCCGCTGTCGTTTCATTATAATGAACAATGATAGTAACAGTGTGGATCTCGAAGAGAGGGGATGCTCCTCGGTTCTCGTTAGTTTCTCGTATATGTACGTTACACAATTATAGTAAGCTGTTTTTAAAGACGCTACTCGTGAGTTGCCTGAACACTCTCCGCGGGATGTGACTTAGTGTCGACAATAAGTGAATAGATTTCCTCGTACTTTTCAAATCACTCTACATAATACTTAATATGCTTAATCATACATTTACATAAGTTTGAGGCACGCGTTCATTATCATCAATAGATATCAATATTGACATACTTACATTCATATCTTTCGTTTCATTTCTAAAATCTTCGTATTCTAACAAAATATATGAGTCTCACCGATACAATGTTTACAATTACAGAAATGAAACTTACTATAATATTTCTTGTCATATCTAAATACATCATTTGATCTAAAACAAATAGTAAATTGTCAAATTGTCAGAAAACGAAAATCTATTCCTCTGGTGGAAATTTCCATAATTTGAATGAGCATAGCTCAAGTGTTATTGAGGAAAACTGAGAATTCTTGTGGTGTATCTAATTAAAATGATAGCTACGTAACATGTAATCGACGTAACAACGATATACGTAACTAATACAAGTTGATCGACGATGACTATTTGTTCCATTTTGTATGAAATTAGAACTGACTTTATCATACTATCTATTGTCGACGCCCAATATGTACAAGAACCACACATGATAATTACAATAGTTCTGCAGTCCGCAGTCCGCTGTCGTTTCATTATAATGAACAATGATAGTAACAGTGTGGATCTCGAAGAGAGGGGATGCTCCTCGGTTCTCGTTAGTTTCTCGTATATGTACGTTACACAATTATAGTAAGCTGTTTTTAAAGACGCTACTCGTGAGTTGCCTGAACACTCTCCGCGGGATGTGACTTAGTGTCGACAATAAGTGAATAGATTTCCTCGTACTTATTGATAAATGTAAATAGAGAATATTATTATTTATAAATTAATGTTAATTAATTAATAAATGTTTTAAAATCTATTAATTCTATTGAGTGTTTAGAAACATTAAGTACTTTCACGTGATACTATCTTTGTGTTATCTCAAGCAGACATAATTTTTTCTTAAATCTCGACGTAACTTAATCATCGTTTTGTAAACACTTAAAATCACACATTTGTTTGGAAAACAACGATACTTCGTTCAATCTGCAGTGCCGACTTTCTATTCTAAACAAGAGTCTTTTTTTCTAGATTGATTAAAAATGGCCCTGATAACAGCATACTGGCCCCTAGATGCCATCATCGTTTTCACGTCGTTACTAGTGGCCGCTTACATGTATATGACCCGGAAGTTCAATTACTGGAAAAAACGCGGCGTGTTTGAGATAACGCCGACTCCGTTCTTGGGAAATTTCGGCGACAGCTTTTTCATGAGGACAAGTTCTGCGGAGTTTATTAAATCGTTGTACGACCAAACGAAAGGACTTGCATACGCAGGATTCTACATCTTCGACAAACCGTATTTGTTGGTGCGGGATCCTGAATTGGTGAAGCATGTCCTGGTCAAAGACTTCAACGTGTTTTCGGACAAACACTCGAGGGCGGATGATAAACGTGACCGACTCGGTTATGCGAACGTATTCATGATGAAGAATCCTGCTTGGAAGTTCGTCAGAGGAAAGCTATCGCCTATTTTCACCTCGGGAAAGCTAAAGAAAATGTTTGACCTGATGCTGGTGATTGCCGACGATTTGGAGAAGCACCTCGAATCATTACACTTGGAGGGTAAGAGAGACTCTCGTAATTAGTACGAAAAACTTATGTGAAACATATTTAGTTGGTCGCGAAGCGTAGGACTATATCTACGACTATGTATCTGGGAATATATAATTTACATAATTATCAACGTAAACATCATAATTTTCTACATGGAGTTATTATATTTTTTGCATCGGAGATCTTGAAATCTTCGATGTATGTTATGTATAACTCCGATGGTAAATTATATCTTAAGTAATTTTTGATCGAGTGTAAATCTCTTCTAGGCAATGGGAAAATATTGGAATTGAAGGATCTCGCGGCGAACGTAACCACGGACATGATCAGCACCACGGCGTTCGGTTTGCGAGTGAACTCGCTGGCTGATCCGAACAACGCGTTTCGCGCGGCGGGCAGAAAGATTTTCGACTACAGTTTAAGTCGCTCCTTCAATTTCCTTACAATATTCTTCTTCCCTCAGTTTGTCGACTACATTCATCCGAAATTTTTCGGCGCCGAGGTGACCAGATTCTTGCGAAGTGCCTTTTGGGACGTGATCAATCATCGAACAGAGTCTGGAGAGAAGAGAAACGATCTAATCGATTTGTTAATAGAGCTCAGGGAGAAACACAAGGGCGAAGAAGTAGATGGATTCAGTAAACATTTTCTTATTGATCATTCCACTTCCGTATTAACATGCGCATGTTACGTGTGCTCTTTGCAGAAGTGAGCGATATTCTTATCTTGAACAATTTTTACTTCAGAATTCGAAGGTGACGATTTACTATCGCAAGCGGCTGTGTTCTTCAGTGGTGGTTTCGAAACATCATCTACTACCACCGCTTTCACGCTGTACGAATTAGCTTTGAATCCCGAGATTCAGAAGACTCTTAGAAAGGAGATTCATGAAGCCCTTGAGAAGACCGAGGGCAAAATTACTTACGAAATGGTACAAAAGCTGCTATTTCTTAACATTATAACAGTGTGATATAGCTTTCCAAATTTTATAATCTCTTAAGCGGCCAAATATACATGACAGTATTTACTTCGTTAATTAAAATATAGTTCTATCAGTGGCTCTTATATTGTCTTTCTCACAGGTTACGACGTTACCGTATCTCGACATGGTAATATCTGAAACTCTTCGCAAATACCCGCCTCTAGGATTCTTAGACAGACTTGCCGGAGCTGATTACAAGGTACCCAATTCCGACTTGGTAATAGAGAAAGGTACACCGATATACATTTCCATGATCGGTATGCACTACGATCCAGAGTACTTCCCGGAACCAGAAAAGTACGACCCCCTAAGATTCAGTGATGAGGTGAAAAGGTCCAGACCATCATTCACCTACTTTCCCTTCGGCGAAGGTCCTCACATTTGCATTGGTTAGTATCAACGAAACGATTACACATATACATTGCTTGTTCTTGACTATTTCTTCATTCTGTGTTTCAGGCATGCGGTTGGGATTAATACAATCGAAGCTCGCGGTCATTCAATTCCTGAAAGACCACGAATTCTCGGTCTGCGAGAAAACGCCCATCCCGATGGTCCTGGATCCTAAAGGACTCACAACGACGTCCAAGGAAGGAATATATCTGAACGTTCGAACAACGACCACCGTAGGCGGATAAATCATAGACGCATTCTACTGATTTTATTTTATTTGCCCGTTCGTTCGGTTAAATATGTTGGAATCGAACGAACAGGGACACGAGGCGAATGTCAAATAAATTATTCGAAAGTATATTAAATATTTTCCGATTGCCTGGTTCCATTGATTCAATCAAGACTAATATATGAATATTTAAATGAGCAATAATTAGGAATTGATTGCGCTTCAGTAGCTCAATTTTATATTGAAGAGGTGTTCATTCATTTGTAGAAAATTGATTTCACATATGACAAATTCAATATATTATTAGAAAACCACAGAGGTCTGCAAAACTAGTGTAGTACTTCTACGTATCGGGCTTCAATAATGGATGGTATGATAAAGACAGTTCTAATTTTAGATAAAGTGAAACAAGTAGTCATCGTCGATCAAACTTGTATCGGTTATGTTGTATAGCTATCATTTTAATTAGATACACTACACAAATTCTTAGTTCTCCTCAATAAGTCTTGATCTAGACTTATTTTAATTATGGAAAATACAATCGGATGAACAGATGCTCGTTTTTCACAATTTATTATGTGATCTAAATACATCACAGTAATTATAGGAAATTACAATTCTGTAATTGAAAACATTGTGTCGATGACACTCGTATATTTTATTGAAATACCAAAATTATAGAAATGAAGCAAAAGATATGAACTTACGTATATCTATTTTTTTATTCACACTATTGATAGAAATGAACGCGAGCGTCAAAGTTATGCAAATGTATGATTAAGCACATTAAGCATAATTAAGAGTGATTTTAAGTTTCGAATAATTTTTATTACGACTCATGATTAGTGAAATGCAAATTCGACTGTTTACGTCTAGATAAAGCATAGTTCTTGTTTTCGATCAACGGTGATGTATATCTCGTGCCATTTACTGTTTGTACAGTAAATCATTCTCTGTAATGTAAATAAATGCTCAATTGCATTATCTAATCTAATCGGCGTATTAGATAAGATAGACAAAAAGTGTTAATGAGTCATTTTGAACTTCCCAAACTTTCTTAAGTTCTTCATCTTATTTTTAGTAATGCATACACGCACAGTCTTCGTTATATAATTATTGACAGAATCTTGTCAGAAGGCATTACAGTTTGAAACAATTAATTAAAGATATAATTGTTGAAATATATGATTGTTTCGACCATCTCCACGACCGACACAAGAGAGATAATTTTAAAAATAGTAAACGATATGATGATAATAACATTATAGATTCTCGAAGAGAGGGGATACTCTTCGGTTATCCTTGGTTCTACGTATATGTACATATACACAATTGTAATCTGTCATATAAAGGCAGCTTTTTGATCGCTGTCCACGAGTTGCCTGAACACTCTCCGCGATTAATGACTTAGTAATTAGATATCGACAATACGTAAATAGATTTCCTGTTACTTCTTGATAAATGTAATAATAATCTTTGTGTTATCTCAAACAGATATAATTTTTTGTTAAATCTTGACGTAACTTAATCATCGTTTTGTCAGCACTTAAAATCACACAATTACTTGGAAAACATCTGCAGTGCTTTCTGTTCTAAGCAAAAGCTTTTTTGTGGATTAGTTTAAAATGGCCTTGATAACAGCACACTGGCCCCTGGATGCCATCATCGTTTTCACGTCGTTACTGGTGGCCGCTTACATGTACGTGACCCGGAAATTCAATTACTGGAAGAAACGCGGTGTGTTTGATATAACGCCGACTCCGTTCTTGGGAAACTTCGGCGACAGCTTTTTCATGAGGATCAGTTCTGCGGAGTTTGTTAAATCGTTGTACGACCAGACGAAAGGACTTCCATACGCAGGATTCTACATATTCGACAAACCGTATTTGTTGGTACGGGATCCTGAATTGCTGAAGCATATCCTGGTCAAAGATTTCAACGTGTTTTCGAACAGACACGTAATGTCGGATGCTAAGCGTGACCGACTCGGTTATGCGAACGTGTTCATGCTGAAGAATCCTGCTTGGAAGTACGTCAGAGAGAAGGAATCGCCCTTTTTCACTTCGGGAAAGCTAAAGAAAATGTTTGAACTGATGCTGGTGATCGTCGACGATTTGGAGAAGCACCTCGAATCATTACACTTGGAGGGTAAGAGAGACTCTCGTAATTAATACGAAAAACTTATGTGAAACATATTTCGTTGGTCGCGAAGTCTTAGGAAAAACTGATTGATGTGCATCACGACGAATCTGTCAGATATACTGAACACTATGTTGAAAACATTTTCTTATCTATCTGTCATAACTATTAAGCACCGAGCGACGTTATGCAATTGCTCAAACAAGCGTTGTTATTTGTATTCCATATATCAAGTTTTTTGTTTTCGTAACTTAAAAACATTAACATTGTTACGTAACTTCGGAAAATATACGTGTTCGAAGAAATTGATCTCTTAATTGAAGGAAGAGACAAATGTATATAGGACAACTGATCCTGTATAAATTTAATTTGCATAATTATAATTATCAACGTAAATAACTATTAATTGTCTTCAATGGAACTATTATATATTTTTGGTACCGGAGAACGGCGTGCAATAAATGATCATAGTAACCATTATCTTATCACATCTTATGTCAGCAGAATTAGTTTTCGACACGTCCTCAATTTGTTGATTCATGTACTCTACGTTTTCAATTTGATGTATTAATTAATTCGTATAGAAATCCGTATTAATAGAATAATTGATATCTATAAAGAATTTTTAACCAACGAGGGTCCATCTCTTCTAGGCAATGGGAAAATATTGGAATTGAAAGATCTCGCGGCGAACGTAACCACGGATATGATCAGCTCTACGGCGTTCGGTTTGCGAGTGAACTCGCTGGCCGATCCGAACAACGCGTTTCGTTCGGCGGGCAGAAAGATTTTCTCATCGATTTGTTAATAGAGCTCAGGAAGAAACACAAGGGCGAAGAAGTAGACGGATTCAGTAAGTATTTTCTTATTGATCATTTCACTTCCGTAATAACGTGCGCATGTTAAGTGTGCTCTTTGCAGAGGAAACGAGCGATTTTCTTATCTTGAAAAATTTTTACTTCAGAATTCGAAGGTGACGATTTATTGGCGCAAGCCGCTGTGTTTTTCACTGGTGGTTTCGAAACGTCATCCACTACCACGGCTTTCACACTGTATGAATTAGCTTTGAATCCCGAGATTCAGAAGACTCTTAGAGAGAAGATTCATGAAGCCCTTGAGAAGACTGAGGGCAAAATTACTTACGAAATGGTACGAAAACTGCTATTTCTTAACATTATAACAGTGTGATACAGCTTTCCAAATTTTATAATCTTTTAAACGGCCAAATATACGTGACAGTATTTATTTCATTAATTAACAATATAGTTCTATCAGTGGCTCTTATATTGTCTTTCTCACAGGTTACGACGTTACCGTATCTCGACATGGTAGTATCTGAAACCCTTCGCAAATACCCGCCTCTAGGATTCTTAGACAGAGTCGCTGGAGCTGATTACAAGGTACCCAATTCCGACTTGGTAATAGAGAAAGGTACACCGATATACATGTCCATGCTCGGTATGCACTACGATCCGGAGTATTTCCCAGAACCAGAGAAGTACGACCCCCTAAGGTTCAGTGATGAGGCGAAAAGGTCCAAAACCCCATTCACCTATTTTCCCTTCGGCGAAGGACCTCGCATCTGCATTGGTTAGTATCAACTAAACGATTATATACATTGCTTGTTCTTGACTATTTCTTCATTCTGTTTTTCAGGCATGCGGTTGGGATTAATACAATCGAAGCTAGCAATCATTCAATTCCTGAAAAATCACGAATTCTCTGTCTGTGAAAAAACGCCCATCCCGATGATCCTGGATCCTAAAGGATTCACGACGACGTCCAAGGAAGGAATATACCTGAACGTTCGAACAACGACCACCGTAGGCGGATAAATCATAGACGCATTCTACTGATTTTATTTTACTTGTGATATTTCGATATTTAATTTGTATACCAATCATCTCCCATCCTTGCCCGTTCTTTCGGTTGAATATGTTGGAATCGAACGAACAGAGACACGAGACGAATGTCAAATAAATTATTCGAAAGTTTGTTAAATGTTTTTCGATTGCCTGCTTCCAGTGATCCATTTAAGACTAATTATGAATATTTGAATGTGACTTGTTGGAGGATACGTTTAAATTAAGATCTCTCTTTTTACTCATTATACGCAGACGATCTGCGTCGTACCAGTCAAGAGTATTTTTCCTGGCAGCACTGTTTACAAAGTCAAGTTCGCATAAAATATGCATACATTAGCGGCTTCTTATTCTGCGGATTTGCACGACCCGAGGCGTTTATCGACGTCTGTTATCGGAATATTCGCGTGAGAGCGACGCGGTAGCGAATTCCGTGACCTGAAGAAACTCTACTTAAAAAAATGATGGAGCAAAATTAACTACGAAATGTCGAATGAAAATAAAGGATGAACAGATTTATTAACAAGTTAGCACTTCATTTAATTCACGGTTCATCAGTACAATTTTCTGTTCATCGATCACGTAGTTATTGAAACATTCAGAATCTTCTGGCAACGATATACTGAGTAATTAAAGACAGGTTAATAAGAAGTTGTTAAATTATCAGAAAACGAGCATTTGTTCATTTTGGTAACAAATTTTCATAATTAGAATAAGCATAGGTCACGAGTTATTAAGGAAAATTGAAATTCTTGGAGCGTATCTAATTAAAATGATAACTGCATACATAACCGACACGAGTTAATCGACGATGACTATTTGTTTCACTTTGTATAAAATTAGAACTGTCTTTATCGTACCATTCATTATCGAACTCCAACACATAGAAGAACCACACATAATAATTGCAACTATTCTGCAGTCCGCGGTTCGCTGTGGTTTTGATATGATGAACAAAGATAGCAACAGTGTGGATTCTCGAAGAGAGAGGATACTCGTTAGTGTCACGTATATGTACGTTGCATAATTGTAGTCCGTGATATAAATGCTGCTTTTTGGACGCTATTCGCGAGTTGCCTAAACACTCTCCGCGGAATGTGACTTAGTGCCGACAATAAGTGAATAGATCTCCTCGTACTTATTGATAAATGTAAATAGAGAATATTATTATTTGATTAGAATTTTTAAAACCTATTAATTCTATTGAGTGTTTTGAAACATTAATTATTTTCACGTGATGCTATCTTTGTTTTATTTCAAGCAGACATAATCTCCTTTATATCTTGACGTAACTTAATCATCGTTTTGTCAACACTTAAAATCACACATTTACTTGGAAAACAACGATACTTCGTTCAGTCTGCAGTGCTTATTGTTCTAAGCAAGAGCTGTTTCTTCTAGATTAGTCCAAAATGGCCCTCATAACAGCGTACTGGCCTCTGGATGTCATCATCGTTTTCACGTCGTTACTAGTGGCCGCTTACATGTACGTGACCCGGAAATTCAATTACTGGAAGAAACGCGGCGTGTTTGAGATAACGCCGACTCCGTTCTTGGGAAACTTCGGCGACAACTTTCTCCTGAGGATAAGTTCTGCGGAGTTTGTTAAATCGTTGTACGACCAGACGAAAGGACTTCCATATGCAGGATTCTACATCTTCGACAAACCGTATTTGTTGGTGCGGGATCCCGAGTTGGTGAAGAATGTCCTGGTCAAGGACTTCAACGTGTTTTCGAACAGATACGCAACGCCAGATGCTAAACATGACCGACTCGGTTATTCGAACGTGTTCATGATGAAGAATCCTGCATGGAAGTTCCTCAGAGGGAAGTTATCGCCTTTTTTCACTTCGGGAAAGCTGAAGAAAATGTTTGACCTGATGCTGGTGATCGTCGATGATTTGGAGAAACACCTCGAATCATTACACTTGGAGGGTAAGAGAGACTCTCCTAATTAATACGAAAAACTTATGTGAAACATATTTCGTTGGTCGCGAATCCTACGACTATGTATCTATGATTACGTAATTTGCATAATTATCAACGTAAATAACAATTAATTTTCTTGATGGAACTATTATACTTTTTGCATCGGCGAACGGCGTGCAGTTAATGATTGTAGGAGCTATTATCGCTTATTATGTCACTATAGAGTGCAGAAATGAATATAATTATATTCAAGAAAAAATCCACAGGAAGAAATTAGTTCGCGACACGTTCTTGATTTGTTTATTCTTCCAAACGACAGCACGCTTGATGCAGAAAGAACTTTTATTCAAACCCTTATTATAAATCCGACGATAATTTACATTTTAATTAACTGTTGATCAACGAGTGTCGATCTGTTCTAGGTAATGGAAAAATATTGGAATTTAAGGATCTCGCGGCGAACGTAACCACGGACATGATCGGCTCTACGGCGTTCGGTCTACGAGTGAACTCGCTGGCTGATCCGAACAACGCATTTCGCGCGGCGGGCAGAAAGATTTTCGACTACAATTTGAGTCGCGCCTTCAACTTCATTACAATATTCTTCTTCCCTCACTGGGTCGACTACATTCATCCGACAGTTTTCGGCAAAGAGACGACCGATTTCTTACGACGAACCTTTTGGGACGTGATCAATCACCGATCACAGACTGGGGATAAGAGAAACGATCTCATCGATATGTTGATAGAGCTCAAAGAAAAACACAAAGGCGAAGATATAGACGGATTCAGTAAGCATATTCTTATTAACACTCCACTTCCATATTAACGTGCGTATATTAAGTGTGCTCTTTGCAGAACAAACGAACGATATTTTTATCTTGAACAATTTTTACTTCAGAATTCGAAGGTGACGATTTATTGGCGCAAGCGGCTGTGTTCTACAGCGCTGGTTTCGAAACGTCATCCACTACCACAGCTTTCACGCTGTACGAATTAGCTTTGAATCCCGAGATTCAGAAGACTCTTAGAAAGGAGATTCATGAAGCCCTTGAGAAGACTGAGGGCAAAATTACTTACGAAATGGTACGAAAACTGCTATTTCTTAACATTATAACATTGTGATATAGCTTTTCAAATTTTATAAGCTCTTAAGCGGCCAAATATACGTGACAGTATTTATTTCATTAATTAACAATATAGTTCTATCAGTGGCTCTTATATTGTCTTTCTCACAGGTTACGACGTTACCGTATCTCGACATGGTAGTATCTGAAACCCTTCGCAAATACCCGCCTCTAGGATTCTTAGACAGAGTCGCCGGAGCTGATTACAAGGTACCCAATTCCGACTTGGTAATAGAGAAAGGTACACCGATATACATTTCCATGGTCGGCATGCACTACGATCCGGAGTATTTCCCGGAACCAGAAAAGTACGACCCCCTAAGGTTCAGTGATGAGGCAAAAAAGTCCAGACCCCCATTCACCTACTTTCCCTTCGGCGAAGGTCCTCACATCTGCATTGGTTAGTATGAACCATTTAATATCATGGTTTCCATTGTGTAACAAATGCATACACGTGTTCTGATACACGTGATGCTGCTTATTGACTCTCCTTATATTGTAAATTAAATCTTCATACTTGTACTTCCATTTTAAAAGAAATAGTGATAATTTGATAGCATATTATGGTGCACATGTTATAAGATATGAGATACAACGTTTCGAAAACTCCATAAATCAATGGTTTTCGCAATTCTACTGATAAAAAAAGCAATTAAATATCACTGTACAGTCACGAAAGAGCCTTGACTGATTGTTATGTTCGGTGTAGATTTTTTATATCATTTGACACGTAGTACTGTGAAAGCAACAATTGACGTTGCATTCCACAAAGAAGATATTTAGTAGAAACCGATATTTACTAAATCTAGAGTGCTTATTAAAATAGTGCACTGTCACACAACAACATGATACTTAAAGTATACAGTTTCTTATTTCTTCTCATCGTGACCGTGCTTGTTATGATATATTATCATTAGTTACCTAATTTTCAATGACCGGAGTATTTGAGAAATAAAACATTTCGTAACTTGTTGCGTCTCCACAAATTAAATTGGCATTATAATTGACAAGAAGTAAACGATTGTATAGCCTCCGTGTGTTTTAACTATTTTTTCATTCTATTTTTCAGGCATGCGGTTGGGATTAATACAAACGAAGCTCGCGGTCATTCAATTCCTGAAAGACCACGAATTCTCGGTCTGCGAGAAAACGCCCATCCCGATGGTCCTGGATCCTAAAGGACTCACAACGACGTCCAAGGGAGGAATGTATCTGAACGTTCGAAAAACGACCACCGCAGGCGGATAAATCATAAACCATGGAATCATAAATCATGGATTCTACTGATTTTATTTTACTTGTGATATTTCGATATTTACCTTATTTTAATACGATTCATTATCTTCTGTAGAGAACCGGAAGTCTGAACAGTCCGAAATGTGTGATTATATTTTTTTCAGCGGGTTTCGAAAGCTCAAGAAAACTTAATTCGTACTGTTATAAAAAACAGTCCAACTGTTATAATTAATAAATAAATATAGAATAATAACAAAATCTCTGAACTGATCTCATTTTATTCCACCCTACTATACAACAGAGTCGGACATTTAAATAAAGTTATAGACAAACAAGTCGCGTGATTCTATTGATAAGTTCACTGACGATCGATGAGTATTCGATCACAGATAATAAAACATTTATTCCGGAGCTAATTCGCTCTTGTCAATTACCTATTCTTTCCTTCGTCCGCGCCGAACCCTGCCATACAATAAGACCGTCGTTCCGATATTTCTGTTGTGCTACACTGAAAAGAGAGACACGGTACACACAGAGGAAGCACCATCAGAGAGCTTTGTTTCCCGACTTTACACGGTCACGTATAATATATTTATTTCATTCACTTATTCTCATTTACAAAAGAGACTAAACGGCCGGTCGTCCGCCACGTGGCCCGTGGTGTTTGTGACCGCCGCTCTTACTTACAATTAGGTCTCTGTAATATATTAGTACGACACCTTGGAATCAAATTGGAATGGCGGATACCGTGCGCTGGCATCCCGGCACCTGGTTCCCAAGCATTGTCCGATCACGCTGTTCCCCGCAAGTTGACTGCGGGGCGAATCGTAACTCGTGCTCGATTATAGCGATTCGACGGATCCTCGGCTCTCCGTCAGGTAGAATTTATGACAAACTTCTGCGGCGGAGTTTAACAGTGGAACTTGATCTCGATTCGATATTGATCAGCGTTCAAAGGTGAGAGGCGTGAGACATTTATCATTTAAAACATGGCTTAATTTTATCCGCTTCGAAGTTGTTCGGTTGGCCTTCGTAACAATTTTAGAACTTAATTTGTATCGTATTAATGCCGTCAAAATGATATGGATCTTAATTCATTTGTTTTTAAATAATATTTCGAACGAAGTTGAACTTCAGCCGGGCAATCGGACAATGCATAAGGGATGAGGTGCGCGCCTCTGCAACATGCTTGAATTTACGTTTGACGATACTCTTACACACATAATAACTATACAATTCATCGTTTACAATATCATGTTTTTCATTTTTATGTAATAACTCGCCCGCGAGCTAAGCCGTTTTGTTTCACGTCTTTCGTTTCATAATTTCTTTCTCTCCAGGTAAATACACGTTATACATTGTACATATATCTAAAGTCGTTTTGTTCGTACTACTCTGCGCATCTCTCGTTTCCCTCGTCATAATAATTGCAGCCACCCTTTCGTTCCTCTCTGCACCGCGTTGCTGCACCCACCGTTTGACCTTTATCGTGCCACGTCTCGGTTACACGTTGGTTAATACGATAACGTTCGATTTAGTCGTTTTCTTGAGTCACGTGAACGTTCCGCGGCATAGTCAGCGAGAAACAAGAATTTTCCTCTTAACCTTCGTGGAAGCAGCAATTTCGATGCGCCGCACGCTATCAATATGCAACGTGTTTTCGAAAGTATACCTGTTATTACCAGTTTTGCACCAGGTGAGGAGTGGATTACAGAAATGTTAATTCTATTTGCATTTAGATCTCTGTAATACTTCGATCTTTCTAAATAAAATACTTAATATTAAATGTACATAGATTTTATTGTAACGTTAAAATAAAACCTTTAATAATGTGTCCAAAATTGTATTAAAAACGCTGTGATAATTTATCGTATTCTTATCACATTTGACTAGATAAAAACGTTTGATGTATCTCAGATTGATTAATATTTATCGTAAAACTAGATAAGGAAGATTACAATGAATATAAATACAATTTTGAAATTTTTCATCTGGTCCCATACAACTAATCGTAAGACTTAAATTAAAGATAGACAGTTTTGAACTTTGGTCTTTTTTTTTCTTCATTATTCTCAGAAAATCTAACCGGAGATGCAGTACTTCTCTGGAAAATTCGATCGGATTCACGTGACTCTCACGAACTTTCACAATAAAGGTTCTTAACGGAAAACGAGACGATCCGAGCAGGTTTCTCGATTGACGACGTCGTCGACGAAATGTTCGTTCTGCGCGACGATCAATCCTCTACGTCTTACACGCTAATTAGCTTCGCATTCGCGGTGTAGGGCGACGAAAACGAGGTTCGCAGAGGTAGCAGACAATTCTACCCCGAAGTCGAACGCCGCCCCAATTTTCGTTTCCGATTTCTGTTTAGCGACGACCGGAGAAAACATGCGATCGATCACGCACCGGTAATTGACGAGAATAATTGGGACACGAGGGCTACCTCGCCACGAATTAGACGATCAATTGACGATTGAAAATTTATCGTAACTTCCTACTATGACACGATTGGACCATCGAGTTTCGTTCCTCCTCCTGTTCCCGATCTTCTGCCTTTCGAATCGTACCACGATTAACGGTATCTACTCATAAAATGTCATCTTAATTATATACTTAATATTTTGAAAAGTGAAACATGAAGCAATAGTCAACACTGCTTTACACTTTTTCTTTTTAACACGATAAATTAATTTAAAGTTCGTTCAACTTTAAAAGAAATTTGTGTGACATTAATTGCTTCCTAAAAATGAATTATGTTTAATCGAGATACGATTCGAAATTTGGAAAATTAATAGCGACGGCTGGGTACTAGATTGTCGACACGAGGTGGTCCGAGAGCTTCTAAGGGAAATCGAGCAGCTCGTTAGCAGATGGCTAATCGATTTACCGTCTAGGAAGAAACAAATAAATATTGACAAAGGTCAGGCACAGACAGCGAGTGACAGAACGAAGAAAGCATTTGATTTTGTATCGCATCGTTTCTTGGACGAATTAGACGAGACACTCTTCGCTGATATTACTCGTCGAGGTAAGGTCAAATACTTTTTTCGTATCACTGGAAGTTTAATAATTTTTACAGTATATGGCGCGTATACAACATACATACACGTCGTGCGCCATTTAAACTTTCAAAGCGAGCCGCTTGTTCAACACACATATTGACATTGAGACATTCGTCGATCCTGTCTTTCGTCTACCAAGCTATTTCACTTGGCAGCTTTGCCGACGATACAGAAGGATTCTAACGGTGAAGTATTTCATGATCGATCGAGGAAGGTTTGAGTTGTGGATGCTAGCGCAAATTCTGATCGGGAGATATTCACGAATAAATCGTTTAAATTACAGTTCGCTAAATCCAAGAACCGAGTTACTTCTTCGTCGAGTGATTCGTATAAAATTGAATTAAAACATCGTCATAATAAAATATGCAACGGGATTTAAACTAAAAATTTATCAAAGGGACACAGAGTGTATTGAGCGAATCTCCCCTCGCGGCTTTTTGCGAGAATGATGGAAACAAGCGTTACGCGTAGTGCAGAGGGCCGGTCGCATGGACGCAGAATTTTTCTTCTATTCTATAATCGCCATAGAAACTCCCTCAAACACATCGAATTTCACAGGGAAGTGATGGTGAAGACGATAACGAAAGACTAGACTTCAACAATACATGCGGTTCTTTATAGTCGTACAGACACACTGCTGGTGGAGTATAAAAATATAAACATCTAAAAATGAAAAAGCGAGAGGCCGTTTATGCAGAGAACTGATTTTTGTGTCAAGGCTGAAAACGCGTGCGTCACGAGAGTTGTTAAGCTCTTCTGTCTTGTTTCTTTGCTTTTCGTTTTTCCTGTAAATCCCATTTCTGAACGCGTTTGAAAATGGATGGATAGAAAATTGTAACGGAAGTTTTTGTCGATCCATTAAAAATTTAGCGAGGAAATTATTGAATACAAAACATTTCAGCCGCTTCAAAAGATTTCTGCTTCAAATATCAAGTTGGCTTGAGTTCATTTTCAATTCAAAAGACAAAGCGTAGAATACAATTCCTCCTTCAATTTCTAACTAGGCCATGCTGGAAGTTTCACCAGATATTGACACTAACTACAAAGCGATCATAGATTTCTAACGAACAGTTCGATGTAGAATAGAAATGACGTACGTCTTTGGTGATCGTGAACATGTTAGTCTGTAATAACTCGTCAGCGTTCAGATTATCTATTCAGTTTCTCAATCAAAGGAAGACACCTTGCAGCGAGGAAACAACGTTTATTTAACGTTCACCTAAATTTCTGACAGATCAACAAAATCTGTGCGAGTATTCGCTTCGAAATGCTTGGAGATGTTTACGACACACACGAAGAGAAAGAATTCTCCCCTTTTCCCCCTTCCACTTCGTTCTTCGATAACGAAGGAAAATCTTATTCATTTCCATTTCTAATGGGTCCTCAGTTCTGATTAGACAAGATATGTCCATTTTCCAGATCCGTTTTCTATCTACGCGCAATTACCTTGTGCATCATAATAGATCAGCTTCGTCACACGATCATCTCTCCTTACGTATTTATAATATTTGTATACGTTATGCTCTCGTCTCGATGGGAACTAGATATTTCATCTTCCGCATTTTTGTATACACTGGCTTGCATATATTTATATATATATTTTCGTTTATATATATATATGTATATATGTATAATAACGGACAACATTAATGATTACTCATTAGGCTATTCTTTTAATTGGACAATAAATAAAATAGTCTATATATCGCGCCTTTCAGTTCCATTTTATATTTCAGGCCGCTCTTCCTCTCTCTCTCTCTCTCTCTCTCTCTCTCTCTCTCTATCCTCTTTCATTCTTAATCCACTTTCTACGTCAGTAAATCCTTGCGAAATTTAAATTTCGTCCTCACCACTTGTCGTCGATATTCGAATTTTCATCGTTCGCGTATAATTCTTTCTTCATCTACCTTTCTCTCCCTCGCTTTCACTCCATCGCATTCTCTCTCGCTATCTTTCATTCACTCGGTTTTCGGAACGGAGATCGATAATTAGGAGCAATATACATATATTTGGTATTCGCCAGCTGTTCGACAGTTTGGCTTCAATACGAACGTTAATTACACTCACACATCCTCTTGCTACATTTGGAAACAGCTAATCGACATACGAAACGCACGTTCTATGACACATCTTTTTTTTCTCATTTTTGTTAATCGTGTTTCGATCCTCGTACAATGTTCGAGAGACTTCCATCTGGGTTTCTTCCTTAACCATCCCCAACGTCCATCTTTCTTCCCACGTTTCTCTTTGACAGTTTCCCGAACAGTAATCAATATTCTCTCGTTTCTTCGTCGAACAGAAAACTTGCCTTCCTGAAGGTGAAACCAACGATGCACGATCGAGTCCGGCACTGAACATAAATAACGTTGAATCGAAGTTCTCTCGAGTTTCACGTGAAAAACATCACATTCTGCGCGATCTGTGACGGACGTTGGTCTAGTCGGCGGAATGCAGATTCTATCGGACAAAGGATTGTCATCGGTTCCGTGATCATCGATCGGTCAATCGACTCCTCGAAGGTAGCAAACGATTCGATCGATCCAGAAGAGTCAGGGATTTCGTCGCGGAGAACGGCTGGCGAGTGTCTAACTAAATGACCGTCCTCGAACAGCGAAAGTAATTCGACGATACTAATCAACGAATTAAGTCGAGCCGCGTACGGGACTAATATAGGAAGAACGCTGTCGATCCGTTTCGATTTCCTTCCTTCTTTGGCTTCGTACCCTTCGCTTCGACACGATCATCGATCTCCTTTGAGCATTGCGCGAGAAGAAGGTGGCTCGAGGATGGACGAAACGAAACCGCGTGTATGTGTTTCTTTTCCTTTTTAACCGCTGCAGCAGAAGATGTTCTCAGCCAGCCATTTGTGCAGGCCCGACAATTGTTTCTCAGAAGAGTCCTCGGCCACCCGTATGCCGTATCACTTGATCTCTTCTCGACTAGGTGAACGCGGAGGATGCGACGGTGCTTCTGACGTCTGTCTCTTTGGCCGAAAGCCAGCCGTTAAGGAAGAAATCCAACCGCTGGGCGATTGCGAACTTTGATCATGCAGCGAATCGCTGTTGCTGTTGCTCCTGGTACTGTCGATGCTCATGCCGGACTTGAACCGCCATAATAATCCTGGCGAGGATTTCTTGGACGTCGCCGGCGAGGAGTACGTCGGTTTCTTCCGTGTCTTGGCATCGTCTTTGCACAACATCGAATCCAGGCTGCCCGCGTAAGTCCGTTCGTCCGCTTTCTTTGGCTCCAACGAACCCAACATCACGCTCTCGGTCTGTTTCGCCATCTTCGAGATGTCCTCCATGCTCGCCGAGCTCCTTCGAATTTCTATTTTGCCTAAGTCCTCCTGTACGCCTTCTCTGGATCCGCTCTCCGGCTTGATAACGATCTTCGGCTGTTGCTGTTGATTCTTCGTGCGTATGTCGATTTCACCGAACTCGAAGTCCAAACTCTTCTGATCCTTCGTCCCCTTGAGTAGAAGCGACTTGCTCTCCGAATTCGAGGAATTCCGTCGGTATTTCGGCAGAGAACTATCAGATATTACGCCCGGAAGAGCTTCCAGCGAAGCGGACGATCTTTTCTCCTTGGCGAAGACCATCCTCCAACTCTTGTTCTTGTAATCAGTCGATTTTCTCACCTTTGGCAGCGTCATAGCTCGCTTGTCCACCGAGGACAGTTCTACCACCGTCGCTATAGCTTTGTTCTCTTTCATGCAAGCTTTCGTGAGATTGCACCTTTTGCAGACCGCCAACGAATTATTGTGCCTGGACGAAGTGGTGGCCGTGGTGGCCGTATTGGTCACCGAGTTGCTCTTGTTCAACGCTTTCGTCACGTGCTTCGTGGGTTTCGGCGTGGGCGGATCCTTCGAGTCGAAACTGATGCTCAGTCGATCCGTGAGGTTCCTTAATCTTGAGAAGATTGATTTGTGGTTGTTCGATCCGGTCTTGTCTTCGCAACAGCACCTGAGCCCGACCGGCTCTCTTTGAACCTCCTTGCGACTAGACCTGACTTCCTGCTCGTTCTCCACCAGACCGCTCGTCTTTTTCAAGTTGTTCCTCTGCTGAGACTCGACCACCACGTTACCATTTCCTTCGATCAGCTTCCGTTCGCTCGGTGGTTTCGCCCCCGACAGAACGGTCTCGTCGCTCTCCAGCTCCTCCACGATCCTGGTCCCCTCCGCGGACCTCGCGCTAACCGGCGAACTCAGATTACTGCCAAGGTTCTCTCCTCTACTGCGTCTTCTCTCGCGTTCGTGCTCTCTGACAGCCCTGGCCAGGTCGTGATTATGATAATCCAATGACGATTTCTCCCGGCTACCCTTCCGGCTACCCGGGTAGCTTTTCCTACCTGTCGTCGATCCGGTCAGCGTCCCTTCCGTTGAGATCTTGAACTTCAGCGTCTTCTCGCTGACCTCCACCTCGGTCGCCGTTTCCGGATCGGAGCTGTCCAAGTTCTCCGCCTCCTCACCGGTCAGATTCTCCGTGATGTCGTCCTCGGTGGATCGCGATCGCGAGTGAACCGTTCCCGTGGAACGTTTCGAGCGCATACTGTGCGACGAGGTGGATTTCACGACGCTCGACGTCCCAATAATGCCCGACGTCATAGGCGTCGATTCGCCGAGATCCGCGACACTCTTGCGATGATGTCGCTCGTCTTTCGCTGCCTCGTTCAGTCTGCGATAATACTCCAACGCTTCCCTCACCGGTTGTACTATCAGGCTCTGAAACAAATTTCATTTTTGCACTCTTCATTTATCCAACGCATTGAACTAATTTTTATTTAATTTGAATGAGTTTCTCCTGTTGCAAATTTTCGAAATCTCTCATAATTTGTTTTTAAATGTTACATTGGATAACAAGAAGTTAGTAAATACCTGCAGTTCTGGAAGTAATTCCCCAAGGGCTTCGAAGAGCGGAAGCAGAACGAGTCCGATGAAGCTGACCTGAGACGATGGTTTAGTTACTTTGTCGCGATCCATGAACGGCGTTACTGGAAGTCCTTCGAGTTTTTCCGCGTCGCTTTGTTTGAAGAATTCTTGAAGTAATCGATCCAGCCACGGTTCCGCGACTTCCATTGGCCGTGCCTCGTTACTAATGTCCGCCACCTTGATGAGGATCATCGATAACTAGAAAAGTGAATACAATTTCGTTAACGCTGCCGAATCTTGAAACTAATTGAAAGATCTAATATTATCTATTTTAATTATAAGTGACCAAGATATCAAGAAAGAAAATAAATGTTTAACAATCGTACAAATAATTTTTATTCATTATGTATTATGTAGATATAATTGGAACTTACTAAATTGATATGCGCCTTGTTGGAGTAATCGAATTCCGGGATGGTGTCGGTGAATTGCCCGAGGATCTCGTTGTGCCTGGCCATGTCCGTCGCTAGTATACACCTGATGATACCCTCGCGTACGACTCGATAGGTCGCATTATCCAAAGAGGACAGTATATTACATTCCGGGGCCTCGAGCACCCGGAAGGCTACGGAGCAGTGATGGTTCTCCAGGGGTGAGATGTCGTTGTAACGCAACGCCAGCTCTGTGCGAGCGTTTATCTGGTAGATATTGTTGTATCCCGGATGATCCAGGTCGTGGCAGATGCAGGAAACGATGAGTATGAGAACTTCCAGGTCGCTTATTCGCGACGGAAGGTCCACTGCCCAACATATCGCGTACATCTGCGCGGATAAACATATTTTAATCCAAATTAATCTTGACTTCTGGTCACTCGTTTCTGTATACACGTTCCAAAATAAACTGTTATTTCAAACAAAATTGGCAATTACAATTAAAGCAACGCAGGAATAAAAACAGATGGCCAGAGATGCTTAATTACGTTCATTAATGTTTCCTCATAACTTAGCTACTCGATATCGTTATTTGACTCGTACGGATATTATAATTTTAGATTATATTTATTTGTGTACCGTCGCCTCCCGGAAGGACGAGCACGAACCATTCATTAAAACCGAGATGTACGTCGCAATTAGATACGAACGGAAGATTCATGAATCTTGTTCCAATGCAATAAACGTGAACAGGCTGTACATAGATGTATATAGTATGTATACTTACCATTTGCGCCACGCAGAAACAGTGCCTGAAGTTATGGAACGGCACCTCGTTATAGTTGTTGTAAACTTCGTAGAGGAAGTTCCGTAGTATCGGTAAAGGAATGTTAAATTTTTGAGGTAGGTCCAGCTCGACGAACATCGTCTGCAGCATCAGTAGAAGTTCCTCGTCCTCCCACTGCCGTGCGTCGAAAGCTGGCGAGCGCAGCCACTCTCGAACGCTCGACGACACCGAGACGTCGCTTTAACAAAATTATCAATTTCTACGCTTCACTGTTCCAACTACGGCGAGTACGTAATTCCTCATTTTAGGTCGCGCACAAATGAATTTTTAATTCAACGGTAAAAACATGTTATTGTTATAATACATTAAATTTGTTGAATCACGCAACTGCAAAGTATCGTTAGAATCGTCGTTAAAAATTCGCGAGTAATAAAGTGGTCGTAAAACCTAATTTTGGATGTAATAAATGATAATTTCATGAACATGATTACCGCTGGGAGAAAGAAATTTATAAAATTTCACTAGCATTCAAAGGGACCGTCAGAAGCTCTTTGAGATCACGATAATCGATTCGTCTCTTCATCGTTCCTATATAAGGACGAAATTAATCAGATTAACGTGTCATCCCTTCGTTGTTCGGCGTTCGGTACTTTGAGGAATAATAGATTATCCGCTTATTGAACTAAATCAACGTAAAGCACCTGCCATACGTCGGATAGGAATTTACATTAGAGATGTATCGATCAGCTGGAGTAACGTGCCAGGTAGCATACGCGGCCAATCACGATTACATGCACCCAATGACAGTTCACGTCCCATGAAATATAACGTCGAATAAATATTTATGACGTTCCTCAGAGCAAACAGAAAATTGCGAAGTTTTTTGTTCAGAAGAGATCCGCTCGGAACACGGACGGGAGAGTTTGCGGTGATCAGAAAATATTGACATAACGTTATTTAAATATCGGATAATACGAACGACAGATGATTCGACCGAAAAGATAATTTAGCCAACAGTGAAACTGATCCTCAATATGCATATTTACGCATTTAATGCTCGAATAAATATATCACTCTAACAAGTGGCCTCACGCATTATGAATCAATATTGTGATTGGTCTATTTTATTTCCAATTAACTTCAATAACGAAAACCGTATTGTTTCGCATGATCGGTGTGGATCGGTTATTGGAAGACGCAATATAAGCAGCTCGCACAGCGAATCCGAGGATTTTCCGTGAACTGAAAATCTGCTCCACGAGGATCTGTTAGGCCACTTTGGTTCGAATTACGTAGGAGTCGATGGAAACGAGAACGAAGCAGAATCGAGGAGATCAAGCAGAAGTACGTGATAGCAAACCGCACATTTAGCTCGCGCATCAAATCATGGTACGCAATAATATTCGTTTTGTGATGCTCACTATCATAACTTCAGGATTGGCAGGTTATTATAGGAATAACGGAGGGTTAATAGCGTTTCGAGGATTTCACCGAGTCAGTTACCATAGTTTTTCCAAGTTCACGAATTTATAATGATTCTAATTGTAAATTGTGTGATGATATTGTATATATATTTTCGTCCAATTTTTGCAAACAGCCCTTTGTAAAATTTGCATCACGCTTTGATTGACATATTTCGTACGTCGTTCGTCGAGTACGTTTGTCACGACAGGATTTGTTTGTCTTGTTTTATCATGAAAATCGATTTGCGTTCGTTTTTTCTTCTTTTTAACGAAAAAAGGAACTGTTACGAAGCGATAATCGAGACACTGGTTCTCCGAGAAATAAATTCTCTAGTGACAAAAGCTCGCGAGCGATTGTTTTCAAAGCTCGATACTTCCCAATGTATTTCAAAAGAAAAATCATACAGACGACAACAAAAATAGTAGCACGAAAAACTGACGGAAAAAACGTAGTCATAAAATAAAAATCTGCGATCGATCACGAGTATCGTTAAATTTTTTCCAAGAAATTCTCCAACGGACCTATTGAAATAAATCTTTGCAATAAATCATACCGATCATTAATTCCGTTGTGTTTATAAGATGTTTCAACATGTTAGGAATATTCATGAGTTCGGAAGAAAAGCTCTGGTTAATTTCACGTGAAACGTTTCGTTGGGACGAAACGAATGGGATTACGATCGAATAAAATTTCCATGGTACGTGACACGCATTTTTATCAGTCGTCCAACAATATTGGCAATCAGATATTTCTGTTTGGGCGGTTTAATAGCAATTACTACTGATTACACAATTTCGTACATCATTTATCAGAACGAACAGAGAAGTTGAGTTCAGCACAAAGCATGTTCTGATATAATCAGCCTTTATTTAAGAAAAAAAAACAGGTAACTTTTAAAAGTAATTTTCTGGAACGGAGCTGATTATAAAAAGTCTCTACAGGCGAGTAAAACGAGAATCACGAACAAGGGCTAGAGAACGGTCCCCACGGATTCTCGGATCTCGAGCTTCAAAAAGTAAATTTCGTGTGCGATCAACTCCACGAGAAGTCCAAGTTGCTTCGTGTAATTTGCGTAATCTCTGCGAAAATCTGACGGGGCGCAAGTTTAATAGTTGAAACTATTTTTAACACATTGATCCTCCTGCCGCATCGTCAGATCTTCGTGTAAAAAAACAGAAAATGAAATGCAGAACTACGAATTTCAATGAACTGTTAGGTGTAGTGTATTTGCTCTGCAGTTGCATTTCGCTGCGGCGATAGCCTCACGTTTATAACTTGACATTTAAATGTCTGACAGGAACATCAAAGTTCCTTCGGTTATTAAAATTACTCGTGAGCGTAATTGGCATTTAAAACGCGTATCTACACCACGCGGACCGATGAGCTTTCACGTTAATCCGCTATTACACGCTGAGCGAGTCGAACACGCTGTTTAACGATTGTTTACAGATTGGTACGTTTATTCAACAATTTCTATTAGCTCGCAAGAATTTATTGCCCGTGGAAATATTGAAGACAAGCAAAATGCTGCTTTCGAGCACTCTTCACTAGCTGGAATAACATTTCGCGGTTTTGAAGCAGTCGTCGTTCGGTGCGCTCAATGCCCTTTGTCACAGTTTATCGAGACAGCGAAATTATTTTTCAAATGCGAAAATACACAAACTTAAACCGGAATTAGCATTAAACTCTCGTCTCTCATTAAACAGTTAGGGAGTTAAGGATTTAATTAATTTCTCTCACTGTCGCGTTTATTCTTCAATTTAATACCCCGTTGAGATCTTTGTCCACAAAGGATCGTGTAGGATGTAAACCGTTCCAGGTTTTTCGCATCCTTGGTTTCGTTCCAAGAATTTTCAATCCTGCGTTTACCATCTCGTCGACGAGAAAACAAGGTTGGTAATTTAATATGAGCGTCGAACTTAATTTAAGCTGAATTCATATCGTAGAGACCATCTCTTCTCGTGATACACGAGTACGTAAAAAAAGCGCTCAAGGACGCGATGGATTAAGATACGTACGTACATTAATTTATACTATTTCCATTCTACGTAATATTAAAAATGAAATAAGATTTTCTTTTATGCACGACGGCAGGAGATTTATTAATATTAAAATTGACTCAACCACTGTTTCTCTACAACACTCCAACGTGTCTATTTCAGTATCTGCATCTATCTGTTTATTTAGTAATAGTTCAACTCGAAGGGAATTAGTTTGCAGAATTCCTGTTTAATGCGGAAATTGCATATGTTTTTGAAAAGCGAATCATCGACCAGAGGTCCAATTACTAATGGCTACCTAAGTATACATTAATGTTTGTGGCGCATGAAACAACATCGTTTCTGTATACATTATAAACGAAATTCCTATTTTACTTTGGCCAAAGTTTTATTTAAATTGTCGAAACAGCAGTTACATTTGATAAACAAATACGTAACAATTTTCAGATGATAAAAATGTCAATTTTGAATATATTATCTCATTCAGAATTAATTCTGTTCTCTTTGTGATTTAGTATGAAGCTCTATCATACTCTACAGATCAAAGAGAGAATTCTTGTTAACGCGAGCAGCGTTTTTAATTTTCCAAATAATTGCACTTTTCGTTAACCGAGAAAGCTTTTAATATTGTCAAAGGAAGTATTTTTAAAATTTTGTCTGTACTATTAAAACGCATATAGTACAGTACAATATTTTAACTTTGTAATCAACTGTAGATGAAAACCAATTACGTAGTGCTTCCTCTTTAATTTATGCCACTTCATGTAAAAGCGAATATTGATCAATTTTCGCTGATTATTATTAGACAATTACGGTGTCAGTCATTATTGATCAAATCATTATGTAAGCATTATTCGCGTCTCTCATATATTCCATTTGAGAAATGAAAGATAAAAATTAATTGAAGAAAGCGTAGTCGATTGGTTTGACCTTTGAATGCTTCCATCATGATTAAAAAATTGCATAGGGAAAGACTAGACGTCAGATATCATGAAAGGTGAAAGTAGGAGAATCTTCTCACTCGAATCTGCCAGTCAACAGTCGCAACGGGTTAATCGTAACTACGGATCACCTCGCAATATTTATTACGCAACCACGGATCGTGCATATCCAACGACGATTCAGCGGATGCACAATTCACCGTGGCGGAAGTTCCTCCTCCGGCTCCTTTTTTTCTCCTCATTTCGCGTTTTGCCTTCCTCCTTTCACGGGCAATTGAAAATTCTACACGCGCTTCTACGGTGACATCCTGCGGCGATCGTCGCGATAAAGTCTCGCGGATAAAACGAGTAAATAATTCTGTGGTCGAGCCCCCTTTTCGCATTTGGACTTCTCGCAGAAAAGTCCGCCGTACGCTATCGATGATTAACCAGCAGGCATTATCGCGACGGGGCGGCGCTGTGGCGACTTGATTTATAAGGAAACTTCGCTTCGCATGTGTCGCGCAACCGAACGCATGCGGCTGGTTTATAAAGTTGCTCAGTCTTTACTATAATTAAGAGAGTATGAACGAAATGATGTGGCAGATTAAATTGATTTACTCAGGCTTCCTTTTACTTGCGTATATAAATTTGATTTAGTGTTTCAATTTTATGTGACTACAGTTTTATAAGGAAATTAAATCAACGTACATAGTTATATGCCACCTCGTCGATTAGTTTACATCGTAGAATACTTAAAACACGTTGTAAAACATTTACAAAGAAACGAGCTTTATTTTGAATTGAATTCACATTTCAGCTGAAATCAGCCACTGGAGCAGAGTCCACGTGATTAAAGTTTATTTATCGACGAACGATGCGCGTAGAAACACTCGGCGATAAACAATTTTGCTTTCGTTTATATGAAAATAAATCACGCGCCTCCTGGACAAGTTTTCCGCCGCGACGTTCAATTGCGATAAATTCACCGGGAAAATCGGTGGACACGCACTTCGCGGGTGTCGGAAAGCGCACGCTAAATGAAACCCGACTTTTATTTATTGCGCCCCGGCCACCGTTTCATAAAACGGTGTTCGCAGCTCGTTGCGATCCGCGTCCATTATGATCGAGGAGCGCGCGAAAATAGCACCGGGCAACGTCCATCAGGATACGTTCGACTTGACAAAGTGTCTCTGATAATATTCCTGGAAAAATGCTCACCGCGGAATATGTACTCGGGGATTCGACAATAACTTACGCGAGATGCGAGTGCAGTGTCATCAACTGAATGCGATTTAAAGTTCCGAACAATTCCGTAAAAAAGTTTAAACAGACAGAGAACAATACAACTTTTTCCTGTTATTTCACAGTTTTTGAAAGGGCATGAAAATCGATGAAAATCTTCAATATTATCCAACATAATAGTCGTTCTTCGCGAGAATCCATCGAACTTCGTTTTGCGAGTATCGTAAAGTTTAATAGATTTAGTTAGAGTCGCATGTCTGATCAGTGGTTGAATTATACTACTGGAGTGCAAACTATAACGCTTCTATGATATCTATGATTCTTGATCGGTGTAACATTCATATAATGGATATAAACGTTTACTAATTACTACTGTACTATATATAATAAATTAACATTTACATTAGAAACAAATTTTTCAAAATATTCCAGCAGAGTACAATATTTAGTACTGGATTTTTACACTTTATGAGGCTAGGTTCTTTTTTAAGATATACTATAATTATGTCGGTAAGTAATTACGTCAAATTATTGAATTGCCGTTAAAATGGTCGTATTGATCGGAAAGAAGTTTCTGCGGTATCGGGAATCTAATGGCATAATGAAAACTTCAAATTGGATTCCGAGCGAATTGAGTTGTTCTTTCGTATAGCAGTGATTGAAATTAACTCGATCAATTAAGACAATTACGAAGCTCTTTTGAAAGAGCCGGCACAGTATTATTTAACCACGACACTAATTTACAGCATCACGCAAGAAAATACACGACCCGGATTTCTCAATTCCAATACCGACGGAAACGTAGACTTCGATATAACTGATAAATTGATTTAATTTCAAAGAGAAAATCGTTTTACCTGTTACCTGCGATTCGCCGAGAGCAGATTAAATTTGATGAAGAACAATCCATTTTCGACGATTACTTCAAGCGCAACGCGAGATGATTCGAGCAAGAGCATGATTCGAGAGGCATCTAAATAGTCGATGTAACAGGCTTATTTCGATTTCATCGGCAAACCGGAATCAATGGATTAAGATTATCACTGCCAGAATAGTCAATGTGGATGCATTGCTTTCTATTTAATATTTTACACTTCATTAATTTTACTCATATATTATTAATTTTGTTGTATATTTTTTTTTACCAATAAATTTAGAGATAAAAATAAAAAATCTGTATTAGTTACTGCTTTCTCTAATTTTTTATGGAAGAGGAACCTCGTGACTAAATTTATATCGTACTGAGCTATGAATTTTCCACAATAATTCTATTTTTGACATTTTTCCATGAACACGAGTAAAAGCTTGGTATGTTCAATTATTTACGGTCAATTTGTCGAGGTACATAGTACATGGTACCAAACATCAAAAAGCTTTCGCGAAGGTATTAAATTGGTCGGCCAGCGCCCGTACGTGCATAGAAATATCACTGCGTACACGTGAAATTTATTTTGGTTTATTTGACTCCATTGAAAATGTAAATTTACTAACAGCCAATTAATTTTTTACACTGTGGACCGTAACCGAGTTTACGGTACGCACACACTCTAATTATCCATGTATTGGAAATAATAGGTCTCTCAACTTTAGAAAATATTATCTCATTCGAAAATTCAAATCGAGATGCGCGTTCCCGATAGAAATTCTCTTCGCGAGGGTCGGAAGTTTCTCCGGTCACAAGATTTTAGATACGAAAAGTTAGCCTCTCTTAGTTCATTTATTATCTAACATCGAACACGGAAGATCGAGAATCGTTGCTCGATGTTTCGTGCCGCTCGGTTCGAATGCACATGGAACCGGTCGTGATCGATCTCGCCGCCCGACTGTCGTCGTGCAATGTTGTAGTTTAGGAACAACGGCTTAATAGATCGGATTATCGATGGCACTTAATCATCGACGTATCGGTGACCGGCAGTCTGTCAACCTGAACAAGTTCCCAGTGGCTCGATCTCAGCCACCTCGATCATGGTTCGTCTAATACAATCGAACCGTTTTATAAAAATATTCTACCCATCGAATATTTCTAAAGACAATCTCGTATCAGTGCATATAATAAAAATCACGGGCTATTGAGATAATTCATTTTTTTTTAGTCATAAATGACTCGGATGATTCATTGTATTCTAAATATAATATTAAATTTGTTTCATGATTAACTGTGTACCGTGGGATTACTTGTTCAGTAAAAAAATATTTATCTCCTCCAAGGGGGAAAGTTTCGATGGGAAAGGGTTAAAATATCGCGGCCATCCTTCACGCGGTGTATATGCGAACGGGACGCGGGGATCGTCCCGGTTCATTCCTATATTTTTCCAGCTGCTACTTTGATCTAAACGCAATTGATCCTCCATCCTGTAGATGGATGCGACGCGAACGGCGGATAGATCGGACGGGTAGGTGGGCATTACGCAACCAGACGACCCGGGAGAATCACGGTAAACGTCTCGAGGGGGAAATTAATCATCAGCGTCGAACCGATTGGCCGTTTAAGCGCGGATCCGCGATGCCATCGCGTCGGCTCTGTGACAAAACGACCCGACCAGTAGAAATCTACATCGAGATAAATATTCACCCGCGAAATTCGTCCGCGTCGCCGACGAACGTCCCTGTTTATCTCGCCTGCGACTCCGGGACGATCTTAATTTATACCGTATATCCCTTGCACGTTAAATTGATGAGTTCACGTGGAAATATATCGGTTTAGTCTCAATTGCAGGACTCAATGAACGTGACAGTTTTCGCAAACTCCACGTGACGTCAATCACGACGTTCGCAAGATGTTTTCCTATTCCGTTTATGCGCGAGGGAATTCATTCGTTATGCATTTTCTTAACTGTTAAATCCACGTTACCTATGCGCGATACTAAATTTTTTATCGTAAACATCAAACATTATTTATTATTTTTAATGCCAGAAAAGTAACTTTATTGCGACTTCCTTGGAACTTCGTCGTAAATATCGTATCGCGAAAATATCGATCAACTTGTTTATAGTTTCTTCATCTTCTTCCCTTCGCAGTTTGAGACGCAGAGATGTGTTGCACTGCGTATAACGAGTCAGTAACTATAGTCGTACAATGCCGGACGGAATTACGAGCTTGTTGCATGTTTGCAAATTTGATCAGTTTATGTCACAATTCTGTCCGGCACTGTGCATGTCAGTTAACCATTGTAACTGCAATTTCTATTGACTCGTTTCGTTGCACGAACTATAGGCAACCAAAAAGGGGAAAGAAAGAAGAATCCGAGACATGTACGAAACTGAAATGTACAATTTTTATTGACTTACCAGATGTTGAGGAACTTTTCTCGCACCTTCCGCTTCATGCTGTCGCTCTTCCGACGATATTGCAGACGGTGATACGATTCCGCGCACACGGGCTCCGGAAGCTGTTTGCAGAAGTCTGAAAGTGACAATAGTCCTGAGATTAAACCAGACAATGTACAGGTCGCTTCGCCCTAACGCGATGAATTATCCCGACTCATAGTTATATGCATCTTTCATACAGAATTGACAATTAAAAAAAAATCACACAATCAACCTCTTTACTTTTGGATCAAATCACTTATCAAGCGACTCGAATTGCTACATTTTTTCTTGTTGCAAATAAGAGGGAACGCAGTTAACGAGTGGAAGAAAATCCAGTATTAGTCGAGTCAGATCGATAAACGTCGAAACGAGCAGTGACGGCTTTGCGTCGCGCTAAAAGCTAGGAATAAAAGGCCGACGCGGTGATTGCAAGTAAATTAAGAACGTGAAAGCTTTTGACGCACGTCTTTTCATCGCGACGATTCCGTGGAACGTTGAAACGCGAGAAATATTGTATCCGTCGCAGCACGATGCCTAATTCGAAACGTGTATTAAAACATCCGACCTCGACTCGGTAGAAAGAAAAGTATCTTTCTACACTAGCTTCTGAACGAAGATCCTAGTATCAGAAAATTTAATATGTATGTAGAATCGATTGCAATAACAAATAATAAAATATTCACCGATTATCTTCAATGCTAAAGTTACCAAAACCATGCAACTAATGCAATTTAAATGGCAATAAAAATATAAACGTAACATTTTGAAGAAGGAGAATGGAGGTAAAGTAAAGCAGGAGAAGGGAAGTTGCAGTCTACGAAGGAACGAAGAAATATCAAGCAAAGGGAAAATTTCGGGGTCAAGCTAGCTAATAGCCGGCTCGTAGGGGAACCTTGGGGCTATATAGCGTTTGGCTAGAAACCGAAGATAGGAATAGCCGCGACGGTTCCTTGCACAGGCAAATATTTATTCAGCGGCAAGCGTATTCGGCCTATGTGCTGTTTATTCGAGCGTATATCCATCGTCCGCGACGGACGTCAGAACGATTTTTCTATTCACCGCAAACGCTGGGAATTTTTCTGACCGATCGTCTTCAAGCTTCACGTGTTGCGACAAATTTAATCTTTCCCATGTCAATCTTTTAAGTGCTGGCTTATGAAATTGTAATGCGTATAATAAAACTTCAATAAATAAGAAGTTTTCTTTATCAATGTTTTTTTTAGATTAAAAAATTGTATTTCATAAACGCGCGGCAAATAAAGGAGTTGACAGGAAGAACATTTACAAAAAAAGGTAAACGACTTGAATCGCAATGATTCTTTGTATCGATATGAATGTCTCGTTTCTCGTTTTATTCTTTATATTAACTTAGCTCGTCGACGCGACGTGCTGAGAAATGGAAAATTTGGTTCTCAACGGAAGCGAATTTCGCGTCGAAGCCAACTGTTTCCCGCTGAAGTTTCATTTTCCGGCTGACAATGGAGAAAAAAGAAGGAGATATATGTATTACAGAATCCGCGTTTCGACAAAAGCAGGTAAGAGAAACGGAACGACGCGACGGCGAACCGAAGGGACAGGTTGAAATCGAAAAGCATCGAATTGCTTCTGTCCGCTTCGGTTCCTCCTTTATTTTCCCATGAACGATTCTTCAACCAACTGTATGCTCGACTCGGTGTACTCGCGCGGCCCGGCAAGAAAATCGATTCACCGCACGATTAAATTTTACATAAAGAAAAAGATTACTTGTCGTTCTCCCAACGAATCTCATCGATCAAATTTAAAATATCGTTGAACTCGGAGAGTGATTAGGAAGATCGAAATGTTCCGAGAAACGATTTTATATAGGAATCATTCATTTGTAATGGAAGACTTACTCAGCCAACTTAGCTGTTCGTTGTTCTCCAACTTGTTTTTGAAACTGTCGACCTGTCGCTTCAGCTCGCGGAGAGCGAACGACGGTGATGCATTCAGAGCTTCTTGATGCTCCCGCAGTTGTTGTTCCAAGGCCTCCACGCGTCTCTCGAGTGCCCACAGTACTTCCGCCTCGATCACCCCCGACGAGGCCGGATGCGCTCCGACGATCTTCAAAAGAGGACACATACTTTTACTTCCCGTGGCAGCGCGCAGTCTTCTGTCAAACGCGCAATCGAACGCGCGTCGTAAAACGCAATGCGAAATTGTCCTTCCGTCTAATCGTGATAAGATACATCGCTAACTGGGAGAACCCATCGCTGTTGTTCTTTTGTTTACTTCTGTCTAGTCTTATCTCTTGCGAGAAAGTGGATAGGCATTATGTTTCGCCAATTACTCTTTGCGTTTAATATTTCCGATAACAGGAACACTAAATACATAATAACCGCAAACGTGATTCTTCTTGCGATTAAACATAAATAAGACGACAACGCTGTTAGTAATAAAACGAATTTAACTGGATGTTTAATTCGATCATTCTCTAAACTCGAAACAAGTAATAATGGCGAATTACGTCCTTCCTTCGATTTTAATTTAATAGCGGCTATCGACCAGCATTGATATTATACCGCCTGAGGGATTTTACTACGATTCTAGAGATGGCCCGAAACAAGAGTGCCACTCGATTAGCGACTGAAATGTTCGTCGATGAGGCGATCCGGTGAATCTGACAAAAGGAAGATTTTACTTCAATCAACTCCAATTAAGTGCAGCGGACTCGTGAAATTTTAGCTCTCCAATCTCGCTGACGACCGATCGCCGTATCCTCTCGACGGACAGATTTCAATACGATTGAGTGCTCGAACGAATGGGTTGAAACCGAGAGGTTTCTAATGAATTGCAAATTCCCCTTTCTTAAAACAAAAACCAATTTGGAGAACCCGCGTATTTCTCGAAGAAAGGGAATCTCCGATATTCGAACGGATTACGAGGAAACCGAAAGAGTAATCGTGGCTGGTAGCATTACGAAGTTTTTTAATTTCAGCCTAAGTGACACTCGTTCAAAGCCAAGGAGGAATTCTAGGGAAGACGGTGAATTATATTAGTTAACGAAGAATTCAGGGTAGGGAACGTGGCTGAAATGACTGAGACAGCTGCGTGGGATAGCAGCGGCACGATCGTTACCCACCTGAAGAACATAGGGAGAATCGGCCGTGTTTGCCGGCAGATTGGTAGAAATGTTCAACAGCTTGTCCCCCTTCCGAAGCTTCACGATGTCCAGAGGTCCAGCCTCCGCTGCATGTCTAAAGAGTTCTGTAACAGACACATGAAATACGCTCTGTTACAATAAAAGAGACAGAAACGACAACATTTTTATCTCTCGACATTTGAAACGTTCCATCGATTACGCGTATCCGTTTCCACTATGTCCTCGTATGATTTTTACCAAACAAACAGGCTGCCGTGGGCCGTTATTAATAAATAACACCGACGACAATAATCGCGCTCGAACGAGAATTTCATGGAGAGGCGGAGAATGAATCGCGTTAAAAATCCCCGGCGTGAATCGTTCAAACGGCCAGACAGCGAATTCGTTATTCAAATGTGTGCCCGGAGCGTTACGTCCTTTCAGTGATATCGAGCGCAACGACATTTTATAAGTGAATGTTTTATTCATCATCGGTGCGCGTAGTTGCGCATAACTCGATCTAACGCGCGTATTATGTCGAGGAAATTATAATCGCTCGGAGCGAGCGGTTCGCTTCCAGCCGCTTTTCCCGAAATTATTCGGGCAGAGGACGTGTCGATGAAACGGTGAACCACGATTTAAACTCGTTTCCAAACGCAATTTAATAGATTATCGATTAATCGAATTCAGTGATCCGAATATTATGAATGATATTCACCTATTATTTTCTATATCATTTGTACGTGTCACTCTCCCATTTTATGTGAATGAGATGGGGTTGGGGATAAAATGTTGGAGCACGTGAAGTGATTCATTGTTCGCCCGGAATTCCTTTGTGGAATAGCGTTTTCAAGCGATTTAAGTTTGCACAGTAGGCAAAAGTTTAATGAACAAACGAACAGTGTTAAACAGAAAAGTGTATTCTGTCACTCGCTGAGTCACTTTTATTAACTGTTACAGCTGTTAAAACACGATCCCTGAAAAGAGTAAGCACATTTCCAGCCTCCCTGAGGAATGTTAATACGAGAACATCAGAATCCTTTTATCATACTAATACCGGTCTCTGTTCCCTTGAAAATTTCATCCTCGTAACACGCCCTACGACTACAGCCGAGCATGCAACCCTAGATCCCGAGAGCTACAAATCTCTCAGGATCCAAACACACGGGGATTAAAACCAATAAAATCGAACGGTTGCACGTCGTTTCTTGACTAATGCCCTGTCGCAGGATCGTTCAATTCGATAAATTTAATATCGAGCCGACCGGCAGATCTTGATTAACCGACATCGAACCGCGGGGACCGCTGCATAAATCCGAAGCCGTAAAGACTGGTAAATGAAATTACCATTTAACAACCCGACGGCAGTTTTCTCGGTTCGCGCCGGGACATCGCTTTCGAGGGTCTGGGAAACACTGATGAACGCGCAGTATCGAATACTCGGAAAATACTCTCGCCTCTGTACCATAGCGGATTAACACGTTTCCCAATGAGTAATGGGCAGAACGAGCGGCCGGCCTCACCGCCAATTAATCATCCGTTCGTAGGTGTACAGGGTTCTAATGTAGATTTACACCGTGCTACGGAACTGATAAACACCGCCCCGTTTTACAGAGGTGCAAATAATAAGCAATACATAGGAACCTGCTGAGCGATAATAGTGACTGAATAATCGCTCGCAAACATGCATCGGCGATAATCGACTTATTGGTCTAAGCCGGAATAACTCTAGTTTCAGAATGAAATTATCTATGGAAGACGCGTTCTAGTTTCATTGTCAGTTGTTTACTACCCTGTGTACCGCGCATTCCGTTGCGTAAAACTCTCGGTGTTTTGTGGTGCAACACCGTTGCAAAGCTTCGGTTATGATAAATGTTTTCTGCCCCCTTGCCGTAAACTTCGGATAGTCATGCATGCGAAATGAACCGAAGTTGAAATTGCTGCTGAAACAACGCAAACTGTTAATGGCTTAATAGATTAAAGGCGAAATGATTTAGGACTTGAATATAAGTAATTCCTAGTCACAAAACAGAGCTTTTTGGCTCATTCGATGCAATACATCAGTTAGATAAATTAATATCAATTCTCTTATTAAGTCGAGTCTCGTGTCGATCAATTGCAAATCTAAATTCCTGTTTATCTGAAATTTTTTGTTATCGACATGATTCATAAATCAGGTGATCATGTAATCCTACAATAATATAGGTCATATCATTCGATATCGACAAAGATATTACAGAAATCTTGATTAATTTTTGTGTGAAGAAATGTACGTCTAACTAGAAGGAAACTCGAAAGGAGGATAGAATTTAGCATCGAGCATCTAACCGATTTCTCAATAGAGTTAAGAGTTAAGAATTTCCGTAGCTTTCAGATAGCGAAGAGGAGAAAAACGCTAATGGCATCCGTCCTGTGTTTAAAAAAACAGAAGGAAGGATAAAACTACGTTGTTGTTTAGTTATCGATTCAATGGGGGAGTTCCCTGTATTCTGTGAGAAGATTCATGATTCTCCGTGAAAAATGATATTTGCAGCGAGGATAAAGGCCGAGAGTCATTTATAAAATACAGCTGTTGCTCCGTATCCTGTCTTCTTTTTTTTCTTACATAGCAGATGAAACAAAAAAGAGGCACATGATCAATAGATTTCAAATCTGATGAAATGTTCTAGGAATCAGAAAAAATTTGATACTCGTCAGAAATTTTCTACCAGGCTTCGCAATTTTCAAATTTCGAAGGATTAAGATAGGAACTAATCACAATTTCATCTGAAAATGTGTTCTGAAATCCGGATGTCCACGTGTTTTTTGTACTTGACGCTTCTGGCAAGTCGATGTTCCAATAATAGGAACCGAGTATTAACGTCAACGTGTATATGTACTTTGACAACATTCCCAGTTCACCCGTTAGCAAATGTGATATGTTTGTGCGAAATGAAATTTCACAACGGTTCAGTTGCGACTCGGATAAAATCGGAATTAAAACCGAATAACAGCGGCCAAAGAGAATGGACGCGACCGGGGAAAAAAATATTTCGCACACATTTCATTCCGAGTTCCACGTTGATGTTATGCAAAAAATTCCGGACGAAGCGCGTATTCGCGTATTTGTCAATCGGAAAACTACTTCCCGTGGCGAATCGTCCCGATCTTTTATTCCAGTCGCAAACAAATATTGAATCATGCAAATCCCTGAAAAAATCTGAATTGCGGAATATTTAGAGAATGCTTGAAAAGCGTGAACATAAACTGCGACATCGTCGGTGTGCGTTAGAATAAATGAAAGGAGTTACGCGACACTATAATCTTCCAAATGAAAGGAGCTTATTCCTGTACAAGCTTTCTTTACACGAATATCTGTTCTATTCTCAATCTCTGTTTTACGAAATTAAAACGCTCACTCTCATTAGCAATAGTATTTTCACATGATCATAAAAGGGAATGCTAGGATATATCTAATCCGGCATAATCACGGAAAAAGGAACGTATAACGGAACAGAAGAGAATTCCAGCGGGCAACTCGTTCAAATATTCATGAATTTCCCGGACACCCGTTGCACATGTACGAGACGGACAGAGTAGCAGCAGCAGACCGAAGGGTACACACGGAACACGGCACGAGTACAGCTCGCGTACCCACGCCCACGCGTGCATTTGAATAGAGGCCGCTAATTAAACTGAAATTGTTCATAGCGTGGCGCGAACAATATTTACAATGTGACCGCGCTCTTCCGAGTTCAACGTGAAGTCTAAAAACGGAAATCATGTAAACGAGAATCGAGAAACAATAGTGGTTTATTGTGAATTCTATGAATAGTCATTTCCTGTGATTTACGTTCACTATGTCGGAAGCAAATAATTTTACACAAAAGATGATTCACGGTGATCAAAAGAAAACGTGAATATGTCGATTTTAAAATGAAGCACGATTTATATGTACATAGATCGTAATTATTGTGAATGGGAATTGTATAAATCATTATAAGTATCCTCAGAGAATTTCGTCGTCTTAGATTTAAGCTATGCTTCCTTTTGAAACAAAATAAATTAAAACTAATTAAGAAGGATCATATTTACCAATTTGTTCCTTAGTCAAGGCAAAGTAGAATCTTTATATTGCGAAAGTTTCCGATTGAAAATGATCAATGTTTGAGCCGTTCTTCCTATGGTCCTTTTTAATACACTGTACACTAGCTTCCCGAAAATGGAGAAACCCCGGAAATCATATCAAAACACAAACTTTCCGATTCCGACCGACCCTCGTGTTATTTTACATCGAGCGTATACACAATTATCCACCTCGAACGAAATTAACTGCCCCGAAGCACAGAAACAACTCCTGTACGACCCTTCGCTATCAGAAGCTACGAGCACGTTTGCTCGCGAGGAAATTTTCCTAGCGTGGAAAGTCTGTCTCTGGCCGACGCGGTGGCCAATACCGGCAATTATACTTGTCGAAATTACCGAATCAAATATTAGCTCGGAGGCCGGGAAAAGGTCACAAATAATGGGGTCTTAAATTAGAATAGAGGACGGTGAGCGGTGATCAAAAGGTGGAGGAGACCGGGTGGTGCGCGCTCGACGACCGCTATAAAAATCGACCGGGTGACATTCATTGAAAGCATACGGCATGCCCGATCGTTTGCCGGGTAAACTCGTTTAATTGAGAACGGGGGTGAGTACGATTCGTGGAATCGTCGCAAAATCCCTTTCCGCTGCTATCTGCGTTTTGCACATGCCACCGATCGAAGTTAAAATTAGCAGTTCCGGCGAAATCGCGACGCCTAGGCTTGCCCCTCGCATGGAATTACGATCATTTTTCGAATCAATCATCAACGCTTCGAGCGATTTCGATAGATCATGCGAAAAACCATGAATATTAAAAAACTAGAGGTAAACAAAAATCGGAAGATATTTAAATTTATGATTCCACGGAGAAATGTATTCGTGTATATTTTAAACTGAAAAGAATGATTGAATGAACAGGTTGCACTCGGGAAACACTTGTACGCTCTGCTGGGTCAGGCAGAGAAAGCAATATCAGTTGTGAATGAGGTCGTGTCGTTTGTTAGAACACGTTTCGGCCAGCTCTGATTTGAATTTGCAATTCTATTGGTAAGGGTACATA